AATTTCAATTATATAATTGGGAATTGTTACTTCTGTTAAATTTCTTTTTGCGAAACAAAGGACATCAAAAATTTCGTTTTTAGGTCTAGATTTGCCGAGAATGAACTTATCATTCGCATTAGAATAATTTTTATTCATTGGTGACAATGTTACATAGTTTAATTCAGGTGTTCCATGATTCCAGCCTTCGACCAATTGATCCACTTTTTCTGGGATAAATAATTTATTGATTGAAGTGCAAATGAATGCATTTTGTTCGATTCTTCTTAACTCAGAATCTTCCGGTATTTCAATGTTCTTCAGAAGAAAGCATTTGTAGAATGCTGATATTTGAATTCTTCTTAAACTTCGTGGAATTTTAATTGTTTCGAATGCACAGCTTATAAAACAAAATGGATTAAATTGTCTCAGTTCTGAATTGTCTTGGAATTCAACTGTTTTAAGATTTTGACAATCATTGAATACAAATGATTCAATCTTTTTCAAATGAGAAGGAATCTTTATCTTTTCAATTTTCGTGTGTGCAAAGGCTTCTTGTCCAATTGTTTCTAATTCTGAATCATCTGTGAATTCAGCAAACAAGAATTGATTGCTGTAGTAAAATGCTTTGTCACCTATTCTTGTTACATGTGATGGAACTTTGATCGTCCTGAGTGCACAGTTGTAGAATGCTTCATTATCTATTAATTCGAGTTCTGAATCCTTTTCAAATTCAATTTGCCAGACATTTGTAAGCCAAAAAGCTCGTTGTAAAATGGTCGTCACAATAAATTCTTCTCCGTTATATTTAATTGACCTTGGGATACAAATGCTGCCAAATACTTCATAGCCTACATTGAAAAGTGCAGCTGTTTTATCTTCTTCAAATATTACATATTGAATTTGATCAACAACAACAATTTGACGTGTGAATGAATCGATAAATTTAAGATTTCCACTTTGACATCCAAGTTCTAACTTGCACTTAATCCTTTGCAGATTCTTTTCTTTGTCGGTTATGATATACTTACTGAAATCTTTAGTTTCTAATAATGATATTACTTTTTTGTATTGATTTTTTTTATCTTCCTTTTCTTTTTCTAGTTTTTTCAGTCTGTATTTCAAAAACATGTTTTTCTCACTTTTCGATCTTTTGTTGTTTTGATATATATTAATGAGTGACTTCATGCAATCAAATTCTGTACATAATTCAATGTATTCATCCAAGTTTTGATCAATTATATTGGGAATATGGCGATTTACCAAATAATCGATAAATGATTGTAATGTATCTTCATCAACATATGATTTCACAACATATTCTCCATTTTTAATCAGTTCTGAGTAAATTTCTGGATTTATATTCGACAGTAAATGAAATTCCGATGGAATTGTAAATTCTTTATTGCCAAGAATTAATTTTAGTCCTTCTTTGAAAAGCATTTTGGAAAATAATTTTCAATCAAAAGAATTTGTGCCCTTAAAAAGTATTGAAAAAATGGGCAACTTTTAATTTGGCTATTGGACTGAATTACAAAATACAATGTTTAAATCATTTTGGAAACAACTTTTTTCTTTTGTTGGCTACTTGAATACATATTAGAATTTCAATTATTTTGAAAACAACCTTTTTAACATCAAAACATGTGATTTGATTTATATTTGTATATTGAAATCAGATAAACTTATTTATGGATCTTATGCCTTTATCAGTAATTTCTAATTGAATTTTCAGTTTTTTTTTCTATTTTTTTTTTTTTCCATTTTTTTGCGTTATGTAATTAATATATTCAAAAATTTATTTTATTTATAAATAATATAATAGTAAATATATATGAATATTACTTTTATGATTTGATTAAAGACAATCGATGAAAATGGAAACTTTCTAATTTCAAGTAATTAATGATAGATCGAATGATGGTCCAAAAATATCTGCTAATAAAAGAAAAATAAGCCGGTCAAATTTGATAATTATGCAAAGAGGCTGATATATATTTTTTTAAAAAAAAATGTTTGTCAAAATTGGACAATCGTTTTTTTCTACGCCACTTTTTGAATGGTTTTTCTATCCGTGAATAGCTACTCATGGAAAGTAAAAAACCGCCATCTTAAGGTGAAATTTAACTTACTCTGTTAAGAAAATTAACCAAAAAAATCGTAAATTAAAATTTTCTCTTAAAATTATAACAGTTTGCTTTTTTTGATATAATTTTTTTTTATTTTTACATAATTTTTCAGGAATATACGCACCAGTGATCACCATAGGGCTGCGTGAAGCCGAATCAGGCTCCTTGAATTGCTGGATGAATCGGGAAGCCATTTGAACTAAATATTTATGCATTATTTAGCAAAAATTGAATAAAAAAATATAAAAAAGTATAAAAAAGTATTCAAAAAGTTTAAAAGTTTTCAAAAAGTGGCGTAGAAAAATACGATTCCCCGTCAAAATTGCACATTTTTAATTTGAATTAAAATAAAACATCCAAAGGGAATTTATCAAAATTATTTTGCAATCATCAATATAGATTGTTAAAAACTTAAATAAATAAATTAATTTGGGGAATTCTTCTTAATCAAGGTAAAATAAAACTTTTTTGTCTCCCAAAAATTGAAATGAAAAACGAGAAATTGAGAAAAACTAAAAAAAGAAAATAAATGTTTTATTGTATATTTAATATTTAATTACATAAATAAACAAACCAATGGAAAGCTTTTTTAAAAATTTTTATATTAGTTTCAAATATTATTTCTAATATCATAATTGTTTTTTGCTTTTAGCAAAAATCTTTAGGTTCATTTCCCTTAAAAGTTGATTAAATCAGTATTTGACATTTTAATTCAAATATTTTATTAAATGCAGCATACTAATTCATTCGAAAAAGATATATTAGATATATATGAGCATTATGATTTTATTTATTAGTAATAATTCCTAATCCAAATTATCAATACTATTTGTTGAAAATAACGATTTAACAGGGAAAACAATCATTCCATTCTGCACATCAGGATCGAGTGGACTTGGCGACAGTAGCAGAGATTTACAAGCCAAAGCACAAAAAGGTAATTGGCTTGAAGGACGAAGATTTGGCTCTAATCAAGATGAAAGTACAGTTACAAATTGGGTTAATTCATTAGATATAAACCCAACTGATCCCGATGATGGAGATAATAGTAATAATAATGATAATAAAATTATTGTATCTTACTTCTCAGCAACAGGCAATACAAAAAGGGTTGCTGAAAGTATTCATGGTTCTCTTAAATTTGGGAGATTGGTTGAAATAAAACCAACAATTCCTTACACATCTAATGATCTTAATTACAATGACCCAAACAGTCGCACTTCAAGAGAGCATAGCGACCCATCCCAACGACCACAGATAAATAACATCGATAATGTTGATAAAGCTGAAACGATATTTGTTGGATATCCCGTTTGGTTTGGAGATGCTCCACGTGCTGTCTACACTTTCATTGAAAAATATAATTTTAAAGGTAAAACCGTTATTCCATTCTGTACTTCACATTCAAGTAAGATGGGCGATAGTGGAAAAAATTTGGCTGATAAAACTAGTGGTGCAAATTGGTTCCAAGGACAACGATTCGCTAGCAACGCAAATAATAATGACGTTAAGAAATGGATGGATAAAATTATTAAGACAAATACTGATAATGAAATTAAATTTGTCGATAAAACAATTTCTAAAGGGCTGCCCTTGGTTGCAATTATTGGAATTGTTGTAGCAGCTGTTGTTGTTGTTGTTGCGATAATTGTGGTTGTAATCATTGTTGTAAAAAGGAAAAGAAATAGCAAATCAAATGATGAAGCTTCTAACTAATAAGTCATTATTCTTTATTAATAAAATTTTATTTGGTAAATTTCTGTACTTTTTAGAAGAATCATTCATTTCAGAGATCTTTGAAGAAATCAGCATTCATTGCATAGTTATTTAAAATATGTTCTATCTAAATCAGAGAAGAAAAAATATTTGAGAAGCTTTTGCATCATGAGGAATTTGCATCATTTTACGGAATAATGCATTGGTAATTCACAAAAAAGTAGAAGAATTCTTCAAAGTTACACTATTTAAAAGCTGAATTCAGTCGAAAATTTTATAAAATTTCTAAAATTTTGGTAGACTCCAAAAAGGACAAAATCAGCAGGCCATTTATCTATTCAAAATATATCAATAGAATTTGTAAAAAAACAATAAACGTATAACCATTTATCTATTGAAAATCATTTTTTTTTTTATATTAAAGCATTCATATATACAGCAAGCTCGAGGTAATACAGACTTTTATCGATGATGTGTTCTACATGATCATAATCTCAATTCACTGTACATTAATTTGAATATCATATTAGCAAAAAAACTTATTTTTTATATCAGAATTTTTTTCATTTTTAGTGATTTGTAGCCAAAAGTATGTCTATTAAGCCCAGAAAATAGTCATGTAGCTATTATTTTTATTTGTCTTTGTTTCTGGCAGATATCAAATTGAAATGAAATACTAATACACACATGTGTGACCTTGCTCGCAGTAATCAAATGAATTATTTTCATATGAATTGTTCAATTTAACTCTATAGGAATACTTTTGGATAGTTTTCTTTTTTTCATTTATTATTCATAATTATATAAAAAATAGATTAAAACTAATCCAAATATTATCATAATTCTATTTTAATAAACATTTATATATAATTATTTTTTTTTTTTTTATTTTCATTTTTGTAAAAAATTGATTTTGAATGTTTATTTGATATAAAAGGTGCCGATTTTGGACTTTACAAAAAACGGTTATTGTAAAAGGTGCCGATTTTGTCCAAAAAAAAGTCTACCAAAATTTTTCAAAAATTTCACTTCATTTTTTAAACTGTTTTCATTATGAATTGTAGCTTAATAATGAATCAAAATTAAAAGTTGGAGAAAATCTTTTTTTAAACTCCAATATATTCCAATTGTACGTGGTTTTCCAGCCTACAATCTTGAATCTGAATCAAAAAAAAGCTGGTCCAAGTGGAATCGAACCGCTACCTCGAGGACGAAGACCTCGTATCCTAACCATTAGACTATGGACCGTTACATTTAAAGGATATACATTTTTATAACTCATAATATCAATGCTATTGAAAAATTCTAAACAGCATCTCAAAAGTCGGGCCAGTTTTAACCTATATTTGACCAAAAATTTAGCGGGAAATTTATAAACAAGTCAAATGTGGTACTGTAAACTATTCAAAAATGGCCTGAGTTTTGACTCATTCAATTTTACAATCTTAAGAAAAAAATCATTAAAATCAAATTTTTATTAAGCAAAAAATGATAAATAAGGAAATTAATGAACTACATGAAATAATGAAAGACAATTATCATATATATTTGATTTTTTGATTGTTTAAAGGCACTGATATAGAGGCAATTTGATAAGCTTGAAAAAAAAAAAAAATGATTTCTGCATAATAAAATTACGGAAACATTTGTAAATTCATATCCTGTGAAAATTTTTTGCATCAGTCAGCAAGATATGAATAATTATTATGTATCATATTTGGAATGAGAATTAATATTTTCGTAAATATTTGGGTATAGAATCGGATTTACTAGATTGAAAGCGATTTCCGAATAAAAACTCGATTCCATTCATGAAAATATGATTTTAAGAATTTTTCATAGAAGATATCTATTTTTTTGTGAGAAAAAAATGAAAAAATTTAGAAATTGTGAGAAAATATTTATGCAAAAAAAAAAAGGCAAAAAATGGGGGCCTGACTTTTGATTTTAAGTTTGTATGCATATTGATTTTTTCAAAATTTGAAGATTGACTGTTAAAATTTTGACACCGTATATATAAAGTGCGTCCACAATTAAGAAAGTATTTTTTGAATAAGCTCATAGAAATATTGAATGAGTTTTCACAATTTTAACTTTCCTAATAGTGGACACACTTTACTTGTAAAGAATTTAAAATAAATGTAATTTTTCTAATTTGGTTTTTTACTTATTAAACTCTTATTTAAAAATCTATAGAAAAGAAGTAAATTCTGTGATTAAATTAATTATGTGATTCAGTAACTCAACATTGCACAAAGTAGCTATTGTTCTTAGAAAATCAACAAACTTTAAAATGATTTCTTTTTCATTCAAATTTTGATCATCACTTTTTTCAGTCAAAGGACGAACAGCGGCTGCGATTCTTTCTAACTCTTTGAGCGAGAACCTCTCCTTGTTTGGCTCTGAGTAAGCCACGTCGACAACAGATTTTGCCAATTCAACATATCTTTTTTTACTCTTGTCGATTTCAACGTACATGGAAGCCAGTTTTAAAAATAGAGGACCAAATTCAATGTCATCATTCAGTTCCAATCCATCATCATTCACATTTTCGTCAGCATTATCATCATCAGCATTATTATTGTTGTTTTCACCAGATTGAGTAACATTAATCAAATGAGACAAGAAATAACAAGCAATTTGACGTGATTCAACCTTGCTTGAAATCGTCGATGTCGACATTTTCAATATTATTATATTGACATGTGATATGAAAAGATTTGGATCAGGGTGAGTTTTGATAATTTTTATCAATACTGCAGACAGTTCAGCCAGACATAAAATTGAAGGATCAAATAAGATGAAAATGTTCATTGCCTTCAGAATTTCATTCAATTTTGATTTGACAAATTTTTTGTCAAGAACGAGAACAATTCTCATGAACAAAATTGAATTCAACTTGATCGTTGAATTGAAAAGCACGGACGAAGGATTAGACAAGGAAATGAACGATAAAGAAGTGTTTCTCTTTTTGGCAGATATTAACGTTTCTTCTTTCGTGACTGTCTGCAAAGAAGACTCAACTTTGTGATTTTTGCTGTAATCATCGAAGAAATGAAGTGATGCATTGAAAATGATCTGAAGCTTTTCTTTATCATTCTTTCTCAATTCTTTCAAACGTTCAATATTTAAAGAATCTGCCAAATAGAATAAGATAGTTGGAAGATTCTCAGTAACGAATGTTTTCTCTTCAAATTCTTTCAAGAGAATTTTGAAATAGCATTCAAAAAGTTCGTTTGAAATCTTCATTTTGATAGCTATCAAAAAGTACTTCAAAAAGTTCAAAATGGTATCATTCAATTTATCTAATAAAGATGGTTCAAAATCAGTTCTTTCAAGAAGCATTTGAATTATTTTGAGAGTATTGAAATAAAGCTGAAATTTATTTGAATTGTTTACAATTCCTCCTTCATTCATTGAATTCAAATAGCTCTCAGAAAACTTGATCGTTTCTTCTTTTGGCAAAGAAGAAAACTTGACGAAAAGAGAAGTCAAACTCTTAAAATGTTGATTTTTAAATGACGATGTCCATTTAGTTAATGTAGCAGATGTCAAACATAAAAGAATGATGAATAACAAAATAAAATCATCATGGTATTTGAATCCAGGACCTTCTTTCTGTTCAGCCAGAATTAGCAAAATTTGAGTAGCACGATTAATAACCTCTACAGAAGGCAATTTATCGGTTTTACTCAAATTTATTAATGTGTCAATAAACAAAGGAATGAATGAATCGATATTATAAAGAACACTTAAATGATATTCATTCAATATCAAGAATGATGTCTGTTCAAGAATTAAAGTAATGAAATTCAATGAATTTAATTTCGCTAAAGAAATTAAAACTTCAGTATATGAATTGTTAAGTACTTTAGAATCATTCAAGTTCTCCAATTTTCGAATGAGTTTGAAAAACAAACTTAATAAAGTGTTGTTGTTGTCATCGATATATTTGTTGCCATACAAAGACAATGTTTCATTAAAGAAAATCAAAATGGAAACTTGATTATTATAAGAAGTATTAGCAAAATGATTCAATAATAACTCATTCAGAATTATTGATGATTTATAAGCAAATTTCTTGGCAAGCGAATTCACAAAATGCTTCGAATTATTCAATCTAAAATAAAGCAATGATTCATTAGAAACATTTGAATCGGTACTGTTAATTTTCACAATTTTATCAATATCTTCTTGACTAATGTTCAACTGTTCAATCAAATTCAATGACCGAAAACAAATCTTTCGAATTGTGTTGCTATTTGAGTACAGATTTGAGATAAGAATATGATCGAATCGTTGGAAATAAGTAATTTTTTTCATTGAAACGAGTTTCAACATTCGACCGAAACAAATGAAAATATGTTCATTATCTTCATTTTTAGAAAGTTGTGATAATAAAACTTTTGTGAATGCATTCAATGTCAAATCTCCATAATAGTCACTCAGAAAAGTTTCTTCAAACAATGAATCATCAGAAATTTGCTTCTTTAAAACAAACGAAATATAAAGAGAAGCGATTTTTAAGGCAAGTTCTTCAGTCATTGATTGATTAACACTCAACGTTTTAACCAATGTGTTCTCAAAAACAGAATAATCACACATTGACAGATTTGAATTACATAAACGATCAATGATTGAATGAATTATTTCACGTTCACCTTCCTTTATTAATTGGCATATTGACAAAATAGCTTTGCACGTCAATGTCATGTATTGCGGTTTTTGATCGGCAGGAAAAACCGTAAACAAAAGGTCAAAAAGTGAGTTCGAATAAGGAAGCACTTGAGTGATCGCTGGGAAAAGATTCAGAACAACCGTAAAAAGGTCAATTTTGGGCTTGTAACTGTTTTCACTGGTCGAACTTCGAGAAAATAAAGAAGCAAAGAAACCTCGCTTTGATGACTCTTCCTGTTCTTTTGAGTATTCATTGACGATGTTCTTGATCTCGTTCAACGTCTCCTTCTCCCAATTTGTCGACGATGCAATGAACAAGATCTGCATCATCTTGATGTCCTTGATAAGAAGCAGTGTTGAGTTGTGTAAAATCATCGGATCTTTTGATATGGCGGCAAGAATGATGCACTGTTGGTATTCTTGTTTTCCAAGCCTTTGCAACGATAGATTGCACAATTCTTCACGCCATTCATCGTCAGTGGTCAAGGCATCATGAATGAAGTTCGGCCAAACATGACTTTCATCATTGTAGCATGTAAAGTAGTCAAATGTTTTATCCCTGTCACTTTTCTCGCCATTTTGCTTGCATGCCTTTAAATAGCAAATAAGAGCTGAGATTGACTTGACATGTTTCTTGTAACCGAAAAAGTGAACTGAAAGTGTCAAAACCGAATGATTCAAATGTTTAGGAGCTGAGACGATAGGTATCGTCTTTTTCTTCAGAAAAATATCAGAAAAGTGAATAACTTTTTCAATGTCATCTATACAAAAAGTGATGTACTTGATAACCGATAGACAATACAAATTGGCATTGGTGTCTATTATATGGTCAATTGCAGCGTTCTCTTCGAGGTCGGTCGACTTCAGGATCGCAAAGGCAACAGAGAGGTGATGTGGTGGACATGTGAAGTGACATAAAAAGTAAATGATAGCTTCACGTTGTGCACTCAAATATACATGGTTGCTTATCGGCTTGAATAGCACGTGTATCGTCTTCTCAGATGGGAAATGTGATATGAAAAATAATGATGCACGAATGAAAGAACTGTCCTCAATGATCGGAAAAATGAACCGTTGCAATGTGTCAGAATCAAGAAGGGAAGCAAATTCAATTGCCTCTTTTTCTACTTCAGGTGAATTGAAAAAGAAGGGAAGTGAGTTATCAAAAAGTGGATTTAATACAGTTTCAATGCTTGCAGAGTCTTTTGAGTCTTTTTCAGGAATCATTACTTTATAGTAGGCCCCAGCTACTTTAAAAATGTAGGAGACTCCTTCTGCTGTTATCTTGGGTGATATGTTTTTGAGTATTGGACCATAAAAGTTCTCAAAAAGTTTTTTTATTTGGTCGTTGTTTAAAGACTTCGTTGATGCATACAAAATGCGCAATTTTGAATCAGTAATGATCGTTGAATCATTCAGAAGTTCTTCTATTTTTTTTATAATTTTCTGTGAATGACGATCAAAATTTTGAATTGGATGAGAAATTATGTAAATAAATGATTCAATCCAATTTTGAAGCTTCGAGCTTAGCGAAAAAAGTAATTTTATTATTTTGGAGTTGTATTCGGTAT